ACCTTCTGCTGCTCACTTTTGGCCCTTCCTTTTAACCACCATACATTACAACACTACTTCCATCTTTTTCACCAACATGAACACTCACCTCCCATGCATCTTCCACCCACACTACAACTAAAACCATACAAAAAAATCCACCTTCTTCTAAATAAAACAACAAGCTTCGGTCATGCGCCGCCTCACTCTGGCCCAACAACCATCCAAACAGTAAGGCCAGCAACCGCACCATAATCTTCATCTATTGCTCCGATTTAACACCAATCCTGCTTCATTTCAAGCAATTTGATAAACTTTACTTCAACACACAAACTCAGTTAGTAACGGCTCAAACGAACTTTTCTTTTATATTTGTTTGTGTATATGTTATTTATAATGTGGTTGAATCCAAATATTGATTGTGTTGCGCGTGCGTGGGACTATTTTAGTTTGTTTCTTTTACTACAAAATTGGTTATGTAATGATGTAAAGAGATCTGGACTGTATGTGTTGTTGTCTACATTTGTACGTCGTGTCGAAATCGAGTCTAACAATTGAACTCGTGTTACATGATGTTGGCACTAATATGTTGCTGTATTTATTTATGATTGCTTTATGATTTCGGGAGTATGAACTTAATTTTACTCTTGAATGTGTATTGAACATATAAATTACATCATATGTGTGGGAGTTTTTTTAAATCTTGTATCGGTGGAGGAAGTTTTAAATATTTTGTATTATATCATCATGCTGGATTGTGTATTGTATTGTTGCTTTTGGTACTTTCGTTTTCATTTGCGATGAGAGTGTTAAGCATTAGCAACTTGCTCGATTTATTTACGTATGTCGTGTGACGTGTTGTTTTCGTTGTCATTTCGTCTCATTTACTTTAAGTATCATGTTTAAAATCCTCATGTTGCATTTCTTCGCATTTATGTTACTTGAATTTATCTTTACATTATGTTATCGTTACTTTCACGTTGTTGGCACAGTAATGTTTCGGTTGCATTTTGACGTCATTTGCGATGATCGCGTTTAAGCGTTAGCATTTTGTTGGAATTTTCTTGATTGCTTTCAACATTTGTCGTCACGCTTATATTTGTATACACTTTTGATGGTTTGGCATGGCGACAATTTTCATTTTTTCTTTTCACCAATGTGTGCTTCAATATGTGACTTTTACTTTCACGATGTTCTATTTTTGTTGCGTTTCGAATTATTTAGGATGATTGCGCAAATGCGTTAGCAACATATGATTCGAATGGTGTTGAGATACAATGATTCAATGTCGTTACATTTAAATCGAATTTGAATTCTACTTTTGTAGTTTTGTATTGCAACTCACGTTCTCGGGTTAAGATATGTTGGCTCGTGCACACTTCAGTTTTCCTATCCGTTTACTATGTTGCATGCTTTATGCAATTTGCGATTCAGTTTTATTTGTGGCATTAAGTTACGTCTTGTGCTAGAGTTTGCATCATCACGCTGGAATTCGCGTCATTATGCTAGAATTTGCGCCCTCATAATGCAATTTGTAACCATGCGTTACCATTCCCCCCCCCCCCCCCATTCATTCATTTTGCAACCATTTCACCATCGATTAAATCATTTTCAAAATTGAATCAAACATATCATAAATCATTTTCAAACTAGTGCAAATAAACCCTCAATCAACATCAAGTGTCTTTTCCGCTTGCTCAAAGCGATTGAAAATATTTTTTCTCATAAACTCAAAAGAAGAGAAAAATTAAAGTCTCGCATTCCATAAAAAACTCAATGATCGGCTCTGAGGCACACATCTTGGAATGATCGCTTATTATTTCTTTTGTTCTAAAATATCTAATTCAAACTTAGACAAAAAAGGAACATTGAAGTCTCGCATTCTACGAAAACCTTGAATAATCAAACCCGAGGCACACGTCTTGTTCTTATCGAATGTTCGTTGTCCACAAATCAATTTCATAATGTTACACTCCCATTTAAACCCTGATCATTGAATGGATACATTCATCGAGTCTCTAATATCATCTGAATAGCATAACATGCATTTCATGTCACATAATGCCTAAAATGCCAGTCAATATAAATTTTTGGACTATAGACATACCAATCAAATTGATTCTCAAATGTACGTGAAATTAGCGAGCAGACGTCAATTTTATCAATCTACAGTTCGTGTAGTTTAACCTGTCATGCTAGATAGAGAGATGTGTGGAAGTTTGTATGGAAATTTGAGATGAATAAGAGATGAATTTCTAAGAGATGAATATAGATAGAGAAATGTGTTTATGATTCGTGGAAGACCATTTAAATAGTAGAAAAATGAATTGCATGACATTTTGAAGGTACACGCCATATGATATGGCGCATAAGACTCATTTAAACCCATAAGCCATACCATATGACGCCTTAGTGCAAGAATAAAGGGTATGCGTCATATGCTTTGGCGAGTTGGTGAAATTGAAAAATTGGAAAACACACTTAGACGTCATGTTATATGACTAATTGGAAGGAAAAAAACATTTGCACCATATGAAATGACTTTATATATATATATATATATATATATATATATATATATATATATATATATATATATATATATATATATATATATATATATATATATATATATATATATATATATATATATATATATATATATATATATATATATATATATATATATATATATATATATATATATATATATATATATATATATATATATATATTAACTAAGGCGCCATATAATATGTGGCCTCTATGTAAGTGTTGTTTTAAGTTTCATTAATGCGACATACCATATAGCGTAACTGATATATATATATATATATATATATATATATATATATATATATATATATATATATATATATATATATATATATATATATATATATATATAAACTAAGGCGCCATATTATATGTGGCCTCTATGTAGGTGTTTTTTTAAGTTTCATTAATGCGACATACCATATAACGTAACTGATATGTATGAGCCATAGCAAATGGCGCATATACTTTATTTTAAGTGTATACGCCATTTTAAACGACGGCTCCTCTTTACCGTTTTTTGAAAATACGTTATTTTGGTAATTTTTTTGAAAAGAACATTATTTTGATATTACTTTTGAAAAAGTAGATTATATTATAAAAAATGCTGATATTTATATTATAGTTGTAGATATTTATATTGTTTGAGAATATTTATTTCAGAGAGCACCACTATATGTGAATAAGTTCGAAGAATCTTACAAAATTTTAAATAAAATAAATTTTTTATATTTTTGACTAATCAAGGTTAACCTTTTATATAAAACAAATTTTATTTATCAAAGTTATATTTATTTTTTAAGAATAAAATGAATGACATATCACTAAATATAGTTTTTACGTTGAATGTAAATTCAATTACAAATTTTCAACAATATTATAATTTTAAAGAATTTAATTAAATACGAACTTATAAGAAAAATATCATTTGAAAATAATTGAGAAAAATATTAATATTAAATTAAAATGATAAAAATTAAAATAAAACTACAAAATGACATATAATATATGTCAAAGATAATACCAATTAAATACAAACTTTTACATAAAATAAAGTTTTCAAATATAAAGAGTTGGAAGAATACAAGTCATAATAAGTAAATTTTATTATTTTTATAGAAACTTTTATTTCTTTATTTTCTTTTTTTTAATTGCTCTTTAATACAAGTGTTTTTAGTAAATTTTGTTTGAATTAACTTTTATTTTTAAGAAAATGAGAAGCTTCTAGAATACTGAATCTAAAAAACTCTAAAGATTAATATTATATATATATATATATATATATATATATATATATATATATATATATATATATATATATATATATATATATATATATATATATATATAATTTTCTTCTTTTTAAAAAAATTACTTTTCAATACATGTGTTTTTAGTAAATTTTATGTGGATTAACTTTTATTTTTAAGGAAATCAGAAGATTAATATTTTTTTTAAATTGTTAAGTTATAAATATAAATAACTTTCTTTAACTTTTCAACCTCGTCATTAACTCATCTTCATCTCAATGTAGCTTTAGATTTCAATAGAAATAAGTTAGGTCTTCTTAACTTTCATTTTTGTTAGATTTGAGGTTTTGTCTTGTGTCTCCCTCATTTTTTTTTTACCTATTTTTCTTTTATATCATGGGGTTTGGCCTCTTTTGATTAAAAAAAACTCATCTTCATATCTTAGGTCATTACTTAGATCCAATTTCCTCCGATTTTGAGAGATCTCATTGCCAGAATTATTCAATTGTGTTTGGCATGCAATTTTTTTCTCAAAATTGGTCAGAATTTTCTCCCAAATTTGGTAGATCTCACAGTCAGAATTGCTCAATTGTGTTTTCATGCAATTTTTCACTTAAATCCTAGTGTGTTTGGAGAAAATGGTGAAAACAAAATCGAGTTGTGAAAAGGTTAGAAATCATATACCCGATGATCTTATATTTACTATTATATCAAAGTCGCCTCTAAAATCTTTGGGTCGATATAGATGTGTACGAAAATCATGGTCTCTCTTAATCCAAAGCCCTTATTTTATGAACATGTACCGCATAAATTTTGCATCTAATAATTATTATTCTTATGTTGATCATTCATGTATTATTCATGAGTTAATTGAACCATATAAACTCCATGGTGCCTTGTTTTTGTATCATGGGAAACAATTTGAGAATAAAGTAAAATTAGATTGGCCACCTCCAATTCAAGAGGATGCAAGAGATTTTAAATTTATGGGTTCTGTTGTTGACGACACTCTTTGTTTCTCCACTTGGTGGAAAATCCCAAAAATTGTATTTTGGAACATAAATACTAAGGAGTTCAAGACTCTTCCTCCTAGTTTTCTAGAGTCTCTACAACCTTCTTATCAAAAAGTTGTGTGTACGATTCATGGATTTGGTTATGACCGTGTTACAAACGACCATAAGTTGATTAGACATGTAGCACATTGTCTACATGTAACCGACTATGAAGGTTTTATTCCACCGCACGACTCTAACTGGGAGGTATACAGTTTAAGAAGTGATTATTGGAAGAAACTTGATATAGATATGCCTAACGGTTATTCTAATACAGATCTACAAGTTCACACAAATGGAGTGTGTCATTGGTGGGATGAACCTGAATATTGTTTGGTCTCATTTGACTTGAGAAATGATGTGTTCTTTAGAACACCCCTACCCTCGTGTGTGGATGATAATTTTGACTTATTATTGGTAGATAAATATTTTTATGCTTTAAATGGGTCTGTTGCTTTTATCTCAACCTGGGAAACAAGTTCTGCAAATAAGCTAACTACTTTTCACATATCAATTTTGGCGGAACTTGGTAGGAAAGAATCATGGACTAAATTGTTTATTGTTGGACCATTACCTTGTATTTACCGCCCTATTGGAGCAGGGAATAAGGGAGATATATTCTTTTTTTCAAAAGATGGCGAACTACTTCAGTTTGATTTAATTACTCAGATAATTGAAAAGATTGATATTCAATATCAACTAGGTAATAAGATACTTCTTTATAAGGAAGTATTTCTTCCGGTTGGAGCACTAATAAATGTATGAGTGTGATTATTAGGACTTTATCTTGTATTAATAAAGACTTTCATACTTATTATCAAAGTATATGAAAAATTTAGAAACAAGTTGATAATATGAATTTTTCTTTATCAACTTTATTCTATGGTTTAGTTTTCATATATATTTGTAAATTGATCTGATTTGTATTTCAACTGTATGAATGATCTAATGTTTTTACTAGAGAACCTCCAATTTTACGTCGACATAACTAATACTTAAGAAAATATGATAGTATAATGAACTACATATATTTTTCCTGAACTATTATGTTAATATTGAAATAACTAAATCTGTGTTATAGGAAATTAATGTAATTTAGGTCCATGAAGACAGTGTTGTTAGAAGTAATTCATATTCAGTTGTAGTATTAGTTTTTGTTAAGCTTAACCTAGCTATTGTAGGTTAGCATTTTTCCAATATGGCATTATTGTTTGTGTATATAAACTAGTGTAGCTATTAATAGTTGTAGTTGCGAGTAGTGCGCATAACCAGTAGGTGCGTAATGATTCATTGAAACTGTTTTGCAAAAATAGTGGAAGAATAGTGGAAGTTTTTTATTTCAGTTCTCTCTTTCCTCTCTCTCTCTCTCTCTCTCTCTCTCTCTCTCTCTCTCTCTCTCTCTCTCTCTCTCTCTCTCTCTCTCTCTCTCTCTCTCCATCTTCATCTTCTTTATCTTATGCACCAACAATTGGTATCTAGAGATCTAGTTCAAATCCATAAGGAAACACAGGGAAACATTAGTGAATGGTGAGGTGTTGTGTGATTGATTTCATTTCTTGATTCGTGTTGAATTTTTGATTGGAATTGTAACAAAATCACATTTCTTAATTCTTCAGGAATGGGAAATACTAGTGTTTAGTGAGATCTGGGTGAACTACCCAAAGTTGAAGATGAACGGAAACGATAATCTGAGTACTAAGGTTCTAGTGTTCAATGGCAAGAATTGGAATCAGTGGATGATTCAGATGTGTGTGTTGTTTGACACTTAAGATGTTCTTGATCTCATCAATGACAATTACGTTTTGGTTGCACTTTTGGTAAATGCAACAGATGCACAGAGGAATGCTTAGCGTGATATGAGGAAGAATGATCGAAAGCCGTTGTTCTACATCCATCAGTGTGTGAATTTCAATGTGTTTGAAAAGATCGATGATTCAACAATGATAAAGGTTGTGTAGGACACACTGGTACGGTGATACGACGGTGATGCATTAGTGAAGAAGGTGAAGCTTTAGTCTCTATGTAAGCAGTATGAGAATCTCATTATGAAGAATAATAAGAAGGTACTTGAATACGTTTCTAGAGTGATTCTGATCACAAATGAGATGAATTCGTGTGGAGAAACTCTCTCTGATGAAAAGATCATTGAGAAGGTATTTAGATATCTTACTCCTTAGTTTGATTACTTATGGTAGCAATTGAACACCTAAGGATCTTAGCACCATAAGAATTGAAGAGTTGCAAAGCAGTCTAGAGGCACAAGAGTTACGTCTGACTGAGAGAAAATTTGAAAGAGAGGTAGAGAAGCAGACTCTGAAAGCAACTTTTGGTAAGAAATATTAGAAGCAATCTTGGTTAGAAGCCAGGAAGAGATCTGATGATGTTTAGAAGTCAGAAGCCTAAAATTCTGAAAGGCAGAAGAGTGCTCAGAAGAGGAAGGAAAAGCATGACATGAGGAAGGTTCAATGCTACTATTGTAAGAAGTTTGGCCACTTTGCTGCTGATTGTTGGTCAAACAAGGAAAGAAAGTTAGAAGAAGTAAACATAGCCATAGGAGGTTCTGATGATGAATTTGTGTTATTGATGGCTTCTGAATCTGATGATGCGTATTTGATAAATTGTGGTATATGGACACTGGCTGCTCAAATCACCTTACTGGAAATAAGAAATGGCTTATTGATTTTGACTCTAGAAAAAGGACAAAGATCATATATGCTGATGATAAATACCTCAACACTCAAGGTATAAGAAATTTCAGAGTAGATAGGAGTAATGGTAACACTGCATTAATTTAGAATGTGTGGTATGTTCCCAGCATGAAGAGCAATCTGATGAGTGTGGGTCAATTAATTGAGAAAGGTTTTTCACTTACCATGAATGACAATCTTTTAAAGTTGTATGGCTGTAATCAGAAGTTGATTATGAAGTCAGAATAGGGTAGGAATAGAACATTTAAAGTGAATGTTAAAACTAAAGACTCTGAATGCCTTAGTACAACAAGTGTTATGAAGGAAAGTGATATGTGGCACAAAATATTTGTTCATTTGAACTTCAGAAGCTTAAGGCATCTGAATTCGAAGAAGCCGATAGATGGAATTCCTACAATTAAGAAGCCAAAGAAATCATGCAATGTGTGTATGAGAGGGAAGCAACCAAGATTTCCATTTGCGTCTGAAATGCCTCCAAGAGCAAAGCATGCTTTGTGTATGATACATTCTGATGTGTGTGAACCAAATACTTTGAGGGAATAAATACTTTGTGCCATTTGTGGATGCGTTAACAAGGATGACATGGGTATCCCCTATTAAGTTCAAACACGAGATACAACCAATATTGTCATTTGCATATAAAATGCCTCCAAGAGTAAAGCATGCTTTGGGTGTGGTGCATTCTTATGAGCGTGGACCACTTCTAGTACCTTATCTTTGAGGGAATAAATAATTTATGCAATTTATGGATGAGTTCACAAGGATGACCTGGGTATCCTTTATAAAGTTCAAACACGAGGTGTTTGCTGAATTAAAGAAATTCATAATCAAGGCTGAGAAGCAGATTGGTCTGAAGCTAAATATTTTCATAACTGATGGTGGAGGTGAGTATAACTCTATAGAGCTCAAAAAGTTTTGTGAGGAGAATGGAATTTATCATGAGGTGAATGCTCCATACACTCCTCAACATAATGGTATTTCTGAAAGAAGAAACCAAACTTTGATTGATATAACAATGAGCATGCTGAAGGAGAAGAAGCTCCCTTACACCTTGTGGGGAGAAATTGTTGCCACTGCAGCATATATGCTCAACAGGAGTTCAACCAAGAAGCTGAAGGAAATTGTTTATTTAGAAAAGTGGAATGGAGATAAGGAAAGTGTGATCCATTTGAAGGTGTTTGGTTTTGTTTGTTACAAACATGTTCCAGATGCTAAGAGAAGGTGGTTGGATGACAGAAGCATAATCATGTTTGTTGTAGGGTACCACAATACAGGTTCTTATAAGCTCTACTATCCTATCACTAACAAAGTTGAATTCAACAGAGATGTTATTGTGAAAGAATCATAAGTGTGAGATTGGAGTAAGTCTCAATCCAACACTGGTGTTGTGTTAACACCTGAGTTAACTTATAAAGATACTTCAGAATTGGAAGGTTCTGAAGATTATTCAGAATCAAAAGATGATTTTAAAGGTGACTCTGAAGGCGAGCTTGACTCTGATGGCAATTCTGACTCTGAAGGTGAAGCTAATTCTGATCCAAATTCTGATGGTGATTCAGACTCTGGTGGAGATCTAGACTCTGAAGGTGGCCATGCCTCTGAAGGTGGTACTTTTGGGGTTATAACATTTGATATTTTTCCGGCGTCCAAAGAAGATTCCAAACAAGTTCATAGGCCACAAAGAATCAGAAACATTCCAAAAAGATATGCAGAGTTTGACATGTTGCAAGATATTGAAATAGACTTTGAGAGAGAAGTCATTTCATGTTAGTAGACTCTGAAATAGTTAGTGTTGAAGAAGCACTCAAGAGAAATTATGGCTAAAGGCCATGAAAGAAGAACTTTAAGCTATAGAAAGAAACAAGACTTGGGAGTTGACTAAGATTCCAAAGAACATGAAAGCCATTAATGTTATATGGGTTTTCAAGGTGAAACTAAAGCCAGATGGATCAATTGACAAACACAAAGTAAGTTTAGTAGCAAGAAGATTTCTACAAAAACCTGGGTTAGATTACTTTGAAGTGTTTTCTCCTGTAGCGAGACATGAGACAATCATACTAGTGATTGCGATAGCTGCTAACAAGAATTGCCTCTAATGCATTTAGTTATGAAATATGCCTTTCTGAACAGTCCATTGCAAGAAGAGGTATACGTGTTACGACCTTCTGGATTTATGAAAAATAATCAAGAAAGGGTGGTGTATAAGTTACATAAAGCGATGTATGGATTGAAACAAGATCCTAGAGCCTGGAATCCAAAAATTGATCCATTTTTCAAGTTCCAAGGACTCATAAAGTGTGATGTGGAGTATGGAGTTTATGTACAACATACTTTTGAAAGAAATATGATTCTGGTGTGTCTTTATGTTGATAATATATTGCTAATAGGAAGTTATGAACATGAGATAGCTGTTGCACCACAAATTTTGACCTCTTAGATCTTCATCATCATTCTAGGAGCATTATCATTGTTTATCTAACCTTAACCTATTTCAAGTTTGTCTTTGTTAAGATACAGGTGAATTAGGGTTCCGTACAGTTAGAAATCGAGGTTTCAACGGTTTAATCAGTCAATGCCTTGGATTGATTATCTATGAATAATGTCTCTACACCATTAATAATACTCCATTGGTTCAAGCATGATTCCAATTTGAGTTTGTCACACAAAGATCAGGAACAGTGCAGTTCAGGATCCCAGATTAGGGTTTTTGATTAGGAAAAGTCAACTGTGGTTTGACTTTTGATTTAAAAGTGTTCCAATGATGGATTTATGATCCATGAAGCTCATATGACTTATTCAAGTCCCCTCAAGAAGTTTCAAAGCCTCGGAAGACCCAGAACAACAACAGTCGACTTGGTAGTCATCGATCGATCGTTCGGTTGACCGAAAAGTCAACTCTTCAACCATAAATAATTTGACCTCAAAGTGTGAATAAAAAATGTTTCTAATGTCATATTACACCTATCCATGAAGTTTTAGGACCATTGGATCAAGGATTGGGGAGTAATCGCAAAAATCGAGAATTAGGGTTTCGAAAGGGGCAAGACCATAACTCCC